ATTTGAGGAGACCAGAGTAGCAGTTTCTAGAGTTTTGTTGGCTTTTAGCTTAACCAGAACAAAAAGCCAACTTGTATCTTTATGACTTACCACCAAAGTGTATGATTCGTGGGCAAATGTTTCTTCCAGACAGATACCACATTCTCCAGGTATGGATGGGAACTTTACACACACTCATTGCAGCAAAAATTTCTTACAAGGAATAAACTTTGGGGCAAAGCATCACAAACAAGCAGACTGTTTGTATCTGGTTTTTTTTAGTTGACTTAAAAGTTCCAAAGTAGAGTATTTTTTCCAAGACCAAAGCAAATACAGCAGAAGCAGTACAGATAAATAGATCTATTAAGCCAAACACAATTCTTTGAAAAATTGCAGTAGTTATTCTAAAGACTGAATATAATTGGCTTTTGAGAACTCAGACCTTAGTCTAGACAGAGCAAACTGTGCTATCAGCCAGCTGTTAGGTGGAATACTACAAGCTCTGGCAATGACAGATTCTATTCACTGTCTTGATCACCAGCTGTTTTTTCTGCAGGTAAAAATTTCAGTCACTACCATTGTAGAAACCAAGGAGTTCAACAATCCTGGTTGTATCAGGAGTAACAATAACATTCTGGTTTCACAGTTTCAGTCCTCATTAACTTTTGGCTTGAGACAGCTGACATTACTTACCAGCACTAAAAATGTAATTTCAAGGGCTCCCAGGACAAACACTTCTATATAAAGAAAAAACTAAGTTTCTACAGAAACTAACACTCAGTATGATTGACTTTAGCATATTCATGCTATTAGTCATGTTTCCATCATGAATCCAAAGGTCCTCCTAAACAAAATGAACCAGAAAAGGTTTGGTTGAAGATGTTACCTGATGAGCCACCACCACAAAAGCTTCACAGCTTAAGCAGGTCAGGACAAACCCTCTGGAGAGAGCTGAACTTCAATAAATGTACAGAAATGGAAAGCCAGTCTGTAGGCACTTGACCATTGGGTACTTTACCTCAAACACAGCAGAATACTATTGATTAAAGACCAAAATCAGTATTTCAGTCTTCAGATACCAAGATAGGTATCTTGTTCATTCCCTGACTTTAGAAATTCAATTCTTTTGCTGGATTTGGTAGCCTTGAAATCTTTAAAACCCTTATGTCCCTCAGGAAAGAACAATCCAGGTAATTATTTCTCCATTCTCTGCAAAGAGAAAAGCAGGAGACCAGAAACTGACTTTTAATGAAAATATGGCTCCAGCTGCTGAAGGCTGTCCAGCAGCATTTAAAGCAGCACTTGAGATATTTCATGTTTTCCAGTGTATTATCCTGTCATCCACTAAAATAGCTGAGACAGGAAAAAAAAATCTCTGAAGTGTAGCTGGCAAAAAACAAAAGGCCAAATAGTAAAGTTGCTTGTTTAGGTTTTTACACGGGTATGAAACTTGTATTTGTGGCCCCCTAAGGAGCTCTCTTAAGTCTATCACTTGAAGACCAAAACATTGGTCTGAGCAGTGAGCCGAGTGTGACAGATCCAGATGAGTATTTGATGGAAATGCATAGGCTGTAGCATTGCTATTCAATCACAGTGATTAAGACCTTTTTCAAAATATGTAGTTGCTCTGACAGAAAAACAGTTCTTTCAGATCTTTGGCAAATCTTGGGCTAACCAAATTTTAAATCAGTTTTAACACATCAATTGAAAAGATGTAAAGGCATGTCAAAATACAGTGGGAACACATATCTGAAGTATAAATATTGTATCATCAACCCCTGAACTTGACTCTATTTTTCCCTCCACCCAAATGAAATTTGTTTTTGAAACAGCATAGAAGTTTCTGCTCACCAAATCTGCAACACTATCATGTTTTAAAGTTTAAGCCACACAACTTCCCACTTTGCCATGGGTTTTCAACTGTCCCAGTAAGCAGTACATGGTTTGATGAGGTCAGCATTCTTGTTCTTTTTCTGTAAAGCATCAGGCCCAATTCAGATCTCCCAGTCATCACAGTCACCCAGAAATTCTCTGTAAACCAGAAGCCAGGCTAAGGAGCAAACCTGAGCAGGATGCTGATCTCAAACCCTTTTGCCATCTGATTGTTCCAGTGCCCCTGGTGCATCATTTATCTCAGGCTGACTGACCCTCAGCAGGGCACTGCAGCAGCTCAGTGGGGCACAGGACAAGGCTGCACACCAAGCTGCAAACCAGGTGATGATGTCTGGAGGGAAAAGCAGCAGGGAAGTCCTCCAGGACAAAAGTAGGTGTGGCTAAGCATATGTAAGTGTGAAAGAGAAAGATCTTCTTGCAGAAACTGCACACACTTCAAGGAAAACAAAAAAAACAAACCAACCAATAAATCAAGAGCTCAGTCAGCCATCAGTAGCATGAGACAAACCTGAACAGAAACGAAGAGCAAGAATACAAAAATACCATTTGACATCCTTCTTACAAATCTAGATCTGATAATACGATGAATCACAAACACTTCCACCTCCTTTTTATATTAGGATTCAAAAAGAATATACACATCTTCACAAAATGCATTTAGTTGCCATATAATATACTTGGATTGAAATGAAATTTGCACTTTGAAAATTTTTTTTTTAAAAATGGTACGAGAATATTCCCTCACATTTCTCCACCAAATTTCTTCTTTAAAATATAACAAGCAAAGGGCACAGAGACTGGACCTAGAAAAGCATTTTTTCTCCTGATGATACTCTGTACATTTTACTGTATTTACACTGAAGTAAATGAGCAGAAGTCTGAAGAAATTAAACACTTTCCAGTGCTAAAATCAAAACATAAGCATACAATTTTTTAATTTCAGTATTTTAAAGTACAGAAAGTGGAAACTATGAATATCAAATACAAATTTAAACAAAGCCACTTGTCCTCCCCTAGAATAATCAATGTGAACTACTTATAGAAACTTACAAATTTAAAGTAAAATCAAAACAAAATAAATACTGTACATACACTTTCCCTGCCTGCAGGCAAAAGAGGATGGGAAATACTGTTATGAATTGAAAAAAATGCTCTTAAAGCTGCAGCATCCCATTTCCCAGCCAAATACTTAACACAGTAGTGCGTTTCTGTAAAAAGGAAGACACACATACACCGACCCCTACTGAGCAGACAAGCTAACATTTTCAGAAACATTGAGAAGGAAAGATAGAAATTAGACTATGAGAGTAGAAAAAGGAGGAAAAGACAAATGGGCCAGCAAAACATTACTACAAAACTAGTAAATATAGCCAAGAACTAGCCCCATTTTTTGTTTGGTTTTTTTTTTCAAATTCCATGTTTGTTTTTTTTTAAAAAAAAGATTCACCAAAGCATTGGCAGCAATAGACATTTCCCAGCAGAAGTGACAATACATATCAATATAATCTCTTAAAGTGATCCCTTTCATTCCCTTCCCACAGCATGAAACTCTTATGGCTTAATTTATATTAAAAGTAGAAAAAGTCTTTTTTTTTTTCCAAACAGAAATGCAGCCTATGAAGAACATGCATCTCCTTATCAGTGCTACTTTCATTTCCCATCCACTGCATGACTTATCATTCACACTCTCCCACAAAGAGGGTTACCAGGGTGGTTTTTTGTTGGGTTTATTTTTTGGAAAAATGGATGTTGCAGCTTTTCATCTTGTTTAACAACAAACAGTAAGGCCCTTGGTTCCATTTGTATTTCTTCTGTCAAAGAGTACTGCTGGGCTCACTCAGCCCCAGAACTACAAACAGCTTTTAAAGGTCTGGAAGTATTCTGTGACTGACACTCTGGAAAGACACAAGGCTTGGGGGTCGTGGTGGGAGTGTGAAGGGACAGGTGGGCACGTGGAGCCTGAAGAGGGCACAAGCCACTGGGTCATTCTAGTTCTGCTTAGTCTCCACAGCTACCAAAAAGGGGGTAGGCAAGATTCCCACCAGCTCTGGCTTTGAAATCCTGCAAAAATTTTCAACACTTGCAACTTTATGGTCTGATGAGTGAAGGTAGCTTATGCCTTAAGCAAAGCCAAAGTGTCAAAAATGTGGTCGTAACACTGTGCTCTCTTACATCTCTATCAAAGGTAACACAAGAACTTCAACCACCAAAAAATTTTTAAAAAAAATCAAAACCCCAAAGTCCCCCATGTGATCAGAAAACAACAGTTTTAACTCTCAACATCTAACCCTTCCAAAATTCTCTTTAAGAATGAATTCATGTAGAGTATTATAGGTTGCATAGGTAATCTACCTCAGAGGTCAACAAAGGCTACCCTGTAGCCAGGGTTTATTAGCAAGTATAATAGGAAAAGAAAAGGGAAAGCTGCTGGAAGAATCTTGGATATAGTTTCTAGGCGGTCTTTCCATTTTCATATTTCTTTCTTTTTCTGCAATTGTAGGAATATGAGAACTTAAGGGAGTGGGAAAACCCCTACAATATTTCATTTCCTATTGTTCTGCCTACAAAAAAAAAAATTTAAAAATTGAGTTTTATGCCAAATCCAAGTTCTCTGACTTTTCAAAAAATATTACCCTTGAAAAAAGTTACCACAGCAGGTGTCATTTGCTGTTGTCCAGCCAGTGTTCCCTACTCCCTCCCTCTTCCACCCCAAGTGAGACAGCAAAGAAAAAAATTGGGCTTTTTCTCTCCACTACAATAACACAAGGTTCAGGCCATCTACAGAAAGACTGGTGCAGAAGTGATTTCAGCTAGAATACAATAAATATATCTCTACATACAAGTACACAAAACAAGTGAGGTCACCACATCCTCTTCATCAGCTACCAGGAGATTTCTTTTTTCTTGTTTGTTGTTTTTGCTTTTTTTTTTTTTTTTTTTTAATACTGCTCAACATGGCAATTTCTTTTGAATTAACTTGTTCTGAGTTGGAACATCAGATTTAACTTCTGCTGGAAGCATGGATATTTGAAGAAAATGGGAATGAACCTCTGCCTGTTGACAGCCTGTGAAGAGACTATGACATAAATTCATGACAGTGGAGAGCCACTCAGAAAAAAAAAAAAAAGAAAATTAGAGCAATAGAAAGGATAAAACCAAGAAGAAATAATATATATGGGTCCAGCCATATCTATATTTCAACTGTAAGGTACAGATAAATAGCGTGGATGGTCAGAAAAGAGACTCTGTATAAACCAATCACATGTACAAGAAAGCATACTCGGTATTTGAAAATTCCTTACTCCAGATTCTATTCTGGCATACTTTTACTTTAGACAAAAATCTGTCTTTAAGGAGAGAGAATTCATTCTTTATTTTGCTCTGAATCTGACTGCTGCCCTAAACTGGAATTTTCTATCATTAGAAATTGCACAGCCAGCAGGAAGGAAACAGTTTGGTTCAATATGCTAAAGCTGAAACAGTTTCCAAAGCCTGGCAGGCATTAAACCCATTTGCTCAAGTTTAAATGAAGAGAAAATTTATATGGGTATATAATTTTAACTAATATTGACAACATAGTTTATTTCTTTTACTTACTTTGGTGAGAACATATTAGAAGATAGTTAAAATATTCTCTTTTAACTATTTCCATCTAGAAAACATAGCACCTGAGAACAGCAAGTCCTTATAGTCATTTTCAGCACCTGTAGAATACTTCTTAGCTTATCTTCTGCTTTATAGAAACCCTTGACTACCTCCATTCCCAATATCTAAAGGTTGATAACTTGTGTTAAATTAAAAAAAAAAAAAAAAAGACTAAAAACTTGGTTTTGTGAAACATTAATTAGCAAACAAAAAAATAGTTTAAAAATTCACCTACACAAGTCACAGAAGAAGTTAAGTCATCATAATAGAAAAGCAAGGCTGCAAAAAACACTCCTAAACTATAATTTCCAATCTCCAGACAAAGTAAAGCCATGAAAGCTACCTGACTTTTTTTGCAGTGGCACTCCATTTTGATGCTTCTCCATTTAGAAACAGGATAACATAGTGCTAACTGGTTCTGACCCTGCAGCAATAAAGAACACCTGACATCAGAACTATTTCCACAAATTCCTAAACTCATTCATAGTCTAGCCTAAACAAAAATAACTCTGCGCAAATATTCCGGAAAATAAAACTGACTTTGATTTTAAACCACAAGAGAAAATTATTCCAGTATAGGATATGGAGGAAGGAAAAATTGGTGTGGAAAATTAAAATCAATTTGATGACTTGGACAGCTATGCAGGAGTATTTTTACTCTTACCAATCAAAAAACAAAAACCATAAACCTCAACCAACAATATTGTTGTCATTAGCATATTGACATTTACATTTTGGCTGGACCCTGCAAAATGCCCTTTTTCCAGAATCAAGTAAAAGTATTCCCCTTTCTGCCTTCATCCCCGACCCTCAAAAGTTAAATATTTAATTTTATATTACAGAAAAATACAAATTTTAAATCAAAATTATTTACAATAATTCAGAATTGGCATTTGCTATCAGCTCTGTATGAAGCCTGACACAAATGGTCATTCTGATACCAGTAAGCTACTTAAATGTTTATATATATGGACCAGTTAAGACTTTCCACTTGCTGTCTTGCCCAGCTTTGAAAGCAGCACACATTCTCCTGCTTTCATGACTCCTCAGTAAAATGTGTTTAACATACAATAACATTTTAATGCTTCTTCCATGCTACATTAAGTAAAATGCCAAATCTTTTAACTGCAATGTGTATCTTATGAGTTATTTGAGAGCAACTGTTATGAAGAAACATTTATCTTAACTGATGTTCTCGTTCCTCCAAAAGATGTAATGGGTCTTCCTCCTTTGTACTAACTCTTAAATAACTAGTACAAATACAATTTCAGGGAGTCTTTTTACACAAGAAAATCATCACAGACAGATCATCAGGAGGAAAATATGAACTCAGATTTAGAGGAAAGAGGTGTATTTTAAAACAAGTTAGCTACTGGACCAACATAAGAAAATTCTTCTGTCTATAGGAGTCTCTTCTAGTCCATTAAATAAATAAATCTGATATTAAAAAGGACAGGTCAAAAAATAATCAAGCTGGCAGAGAATATGCAACTTGCAAGTCAACAGAAGCCCAGCCAATAGCTTACAAAAAGCAGGAAAAAAATAATAAGATTCCTTATGCCTTAATTTAAAAAATAATTAATAATGCATCTCACCCCTATTTAAGACTATAACCTGAATATCAAATTTAGGAGTCCAGACTAATCACAATTAATGTGGCTCTCCACTGCACCAAACACACATTATCAAAACAATTTAAAACTTTCACATTATTAAATCTAAATTAATAACCCCCCCACAGAAAAAGTCTTCCAAATAAATAGTTTCTTAAATGAATTTTAAAGTTGTGAAAAATCTATCAGAAATAAATTATTGATAAACCACCTTCATCATCTTCCCCTCATTAATTTAGGTCAGAAACTACCAGCAACAAATGATATTCAAGCCCTGATGAGAGACTATTTCTCACAGTCCTTGTCTCTCTGAAGATTTCCCCGTTCCCATATGGTTATTGCTGAGCAGGTGTGGCACAGTGAAAATGCAGCATTGGGTTGGGTTTTTTTGTGTGGGTTTTTTTGTTTTTCCTTTTTTTTTTTTTCTTTTTCTTTCTTTCTTTTGTTCATCAGGCAGTGTTTTCTATGGTACATGCAAGTCTGCTTCAAGCAGAGGAATAACAGCAGCTCCAGGCTCTGTTGCCCTCAATACTGGTCTGTAGGAAAGACAGCAGTAGTACAGGTAGCAGCTACATTAAACAAAGAAGCGTGCATGGCCGTTCCGGTTCAGCTTCAGGATCTTCCCAAGGCGCTGTTTAGCAGTTGCCATTCCTTTCTTTGGACGTTTGCCTGAAAAACCCAAGCAAGGACTTCAGTCAGGAATTTCAGGATGAATTTTAATCATTGTACAACAATGGTGAAAACCCAGCTTTCAAGTTGAAGCAAGCCAAATTTTCACTGGAATCAGTTTGTAAAACAAGTAGGGAACCAGAATAGTTAAAAAGAACACCCCCAGGAACTGTTTGTCATAAATAAAATGAGTGCATTATGGCTATCAGCTCTGTATGAAGCCTGACATAAATGGTCATTCTGATCCCAGTAAGCTACTTAAATATATGGACCAGTTAAGACTTTTAATATTTACAAAAATATTTACAAATATTTCCAGTCTAGGAAGTACAGTGGGTATAGTAGGACTTAAGAGAACTTAAACTGAGCTTCCTGAATTTTATTCAAGTTATTCTTGAGTAAACTGCAGAATATAAACTAGAAACCAAAAACCTACATAGTATGCTCATCAGACTGTTTCTGAAGTGTTAAGAGTTTCTAAACATTTCATTAAGCTAATCTGATTCAGACCAGTTAGATCTCTCTTAATTCCACTACCCCATATTCTGTACCGAAATCTGAGTGTCCACAGCATGCTCACTTGGTGTTTTCCCTCAAAGTCTAATCCTGTCCTTTACTCAGTTTCTGCATTCAGTCTGTTACTTCCTCCCCTCCAGCCTGCTTTGGCAAGTCAGCATTACCTTTTGTTGCCTGGTTGCTGATGGGGGGTGGGTTTGATGCTGGCCTCTTCGTTGGGTGCAGTGGGACAGACAAGGACGTTTCCCCATAGGGCCTGTCAGGGCTAAGGCTGCCATCACTCAGCTGACACTCTGCTTGCATCAGGCTGGAGTCTCGTGTGTATTTGCCATGCTGAAAACTCAGGCTGTTGCTGTGGACTATGCTTCTGTTTTCCTGAACTTTAAGACTGGCTTCTGATGCACCCTCCTTCTTGATATATTTTTGAGTTTTATTTGCATCCTAGTATGGAAATGAGAAGAAAAGATGTACAAGTTAGTAGCTTCTGGCTAGAGGTTCACTCCAGTTTTTCCAATTATACTACTGTGTCTTTGAAACAGGTATTTCAGCAGTTCCACCAAAATCTGGCCATTTTATGAGTCCATCATTTCTTTTAGAATAGATACCTCTTAAAGATAACATAGTTTTTTGCAAGCTTTCCCATATTCACCTAAGGGTAAAAGTACACATACTAATGTACTCAATTCCTCCACTTCTTGTTTTCAGTTTGCAGTGACCAAAACAAATGCAATTGTTCTTGATTAAACCAGCCACTATAACAAGCCATACCATAATCACTGACTACTTTAATAGGTAGTTTGTTTTCAATATTCAGCTGATGAAAGAATAAATGCTAAACTGGGAATTGCAAACTGCAAAGGAGTACCATGCAGTCAAATATGCTCACAAAGCATACACCACAAAGCACACAGTTAAAAACAGTCCTATTTAATGGCTGTAATTTTGCAACTTTAGTTGTTCTAGTTAATTATTCTAATACTTCTAATACAGACAAGTTCAGAAATATTAAAAAAAGTTCACAATGTAGAAAAGCTCAGATTGTCAGAGTGTAAGGCACAGAACCTTTCATTCCTTGCTGGATTCCATAGGGACATCAGAAAACAAAAATATTCCTACCTGCTAGCTGTTGAAAGCTATCACTTTAGCAGTACCAATTGCCTAAGCAAGTATTTTTACTATACATACTATCAACATGTTCCACGTGTTCTGACGTTCTGGTTGGGAATAACAGTGAATAAACAAAGTTCTTCCCCAGTTAGAATTAATATAAATTAATACATTTTTAACACAGTACTTTTTATTTTTCAAGATATTGCCCTGAGCACCTTAATATTAGGCACTATGAGAGAAAAGAATTTGAAAGGAAAAAACCCAAAACAACAGTGAAAAAATCCATGACAAATATAACCCAGTTACCAGAACCAGAAATATCTGTGAGATACACAGTGTTTAAGGACCAGCCCACCATGCCTTCTGTACTTAGAATTTCACCATCTCTTCTCCTATAAAAATGTGTCCAATATGTTTTAAGTATTGCTTTACCTGAGGGGTAATCCTCGAAGCTTCATTCAGGTGTCTAGTCCATGCTGAAGTTCCCAAGTCTCCTTCCTCCTCCTTCACAGACCTACCTAAAGAGAAGTTTAACAAGTTTAAATTTTAATACTTTCACTCTGGCCACAACTTTCCCATTCTTGTAAGTATGCCACAAAACTTTTAGATGGAAATATTTAGAAATATTTAAATATTCTGATGATAAGCTAAGTTTGCTCCAGTTTTCAGAAGTAATAGAAAAAAACAACAATGTAAACCCACAGAATACACCTTTTTAAATGTCAGTCTGATTTATTTAAAAGCTTATGTAATGTAATACTTACAAAACTAAAACTGTACATTTAAGTGACTATTCTGAGCACTGTGCCAAAAGCAGGGAGCAGCAGTTCCTCAGTTCAGATACCTACCACATTCCATGGGTTTGTGGCTCTGGGATGGCTGTCTGTCTTTATGCCGACTCCTGGGATAGCTTCTGTGTTCCTGAAGAGAGGTTCTTTTACTTGTGCAGTCTGTGCTTTGAGTATGACCTGGTAAACATGTAGTATAGTGCAATCCTGCCATAGAAAGCATGCCCTGAATAGCTTCTTCTTCTGTACTTGTCGAGGTAGGACATTCCCTAGGAAAATCAAGGGAGTAGTGAGCAGTTCAAACAGAACCCTTTGAAGGACTGATTTTTACATTGCCATAAAGTAGAACCATAAATACATGCTAAAAGATCTAACAGTTCATTAAAAATGCCCACAGTGCCTTACTTTTTACTGGGAGTTTCATTTCTGGATGGCTTCTGGGTATTTTGACAAAGGTCTCTTGTGACCTTAAATTCCTCTTTGAAATTGGATGTTACTTCCTGCTTCTCTTCATCACCTGAGCTTTCTGACTCCTCTGTGGAGGAATCCTTCTGCTGAAACAAGAGGAAACAGTATGCAGAATGGTCACCAGACCTCCTAAGCAAAGACTGAATTGATGCCTTAGGTTTTAGCTTTTATATTTTTCAGATTCTGTACTGTTTTAGTGTGCAGTTCTGAGCTTCATATTAAGGGTCAGTAAGCTCTCTTCACAGAGTAGAAAGACAAAACAATTCCTTTCCTAGCTTGGCACCAAGGACAAATTATCCAAATTCCAGGTCCAAGAGCACAAACCATGTGGACTGAAGAGAGAAAAACAAGAAGAATGGCACTGCCTGAGCTAAAGCTATAATTGGACAATTAACTCCAATATGAAAATGGACCAGAACTTATCAAAGTGTGAGACTTCATCACCAGTCAACCATTTTGTGACCATTTTTGGGTCCATCTTGGATGTATCCTGGCTGGGCTCTTGTGCTGCACAAGGTGGATCTATTGAGGCCTTTTAATAAACACCTACTTTATTCCTTTACCTCTATCTAGCCTCTGTTCTATGTCAGCCTTCACAAGGCATCACTACCTTAATTTATGCTAAGTGAAGAACTCAAAAGTTTCAAGGTCCAACTGTTTTTATACTTATAGTATCCAGAATGCAGCTAATCTGAATATAGCACCTGAGATGCTACACATTCAAATTTTGCAATACTGGTAAGTACATGTTCCACAATACAGAAGGCATCTCCAAAATCCATTTTTTACAAAGCACCTCACATATTCCACCATACACAAATCACTGCATTCTCTTTAATGAGAGCATTAATTATTCTTATCTTCAATATTCAAAGTACAGGATAAAAATACAGAAGTATGGTTCCAAGCAGCAGACAGAATTGATGCCTACTATATATAACAGGACACATTCTGCCCCACAAAACTGCTTCTGGTCCCTCCTCTCACAAAATATAACTTTCAACAGCACCATCTCTGATGAATGACAGATGCTCCCAGGTAAATCCAGAGGACAGCAGGAACACAGACACAACAGCTGCTGCCTCTCCTACAGAGGCACAGCCTCATTTCATGAATGAAAGAGCTTTTCAGCTCCTGCTGAGATTACAGCTTGTATGGGCAGGAGCTTCTCAAAGGTGGAGCAACCATATGTGACTCAATATGCCTTTACAGGAAGCAAGGGCTACAGTACATATGTTCCATCTTGGTAATTCAGACTAATCTATTTTCAACAAGTACAGAGAACATCACTATTTTTTTCCTCAAGCCAAGGAATATATGTGACACTCAACGGAGGTTTTGAAAACAGAAGATCAGAACATTCATAATTCTGGAAGACTGACACCATTATCCCCACCATCAAAACCAGAACTGGAATGAATGAAGTGCATTTTATCACCAAGAGGTATTTTTATATAATAGTTTCATTCACATGAGCAGCTTCCTAAAATTAAACAGCAGGAGAATATGGAAAAAACTAAGACAGTAAGTACAGCATAAATATAAAACATTCACTCAAAGTCACACAAAAATGGCTATATTCTCCTGCAAAGATGAAATGTATCACTTCTGAGCAATCACTGATTCTGTGTCTTAGAAAAGGAAACTTGAGCCAAAGCTGCTGGCAATGCAGTTTAGGAAACCAGAAGAAATCACACCATGAAGGTTCCTATCACTTACTCCAACATTTAGATTATGTAATGATGAAAGACAGCAAGTATAAAAAAAAAAAATCTTGACCACCATGGAAAAAGTAGGAATATGAAGACTTTTTGTAAAGTCATAGAATAGGCTGACAACTGAAAGAAAGAGCAAGGCATTAGCCTTCCAGAAGCATGAATCAAAAGTGTCAGGTAATCACTTCACCTTACTGCTAACCAATAAAAATTGAAATTACTAAGTACAAACCTAATTTGCAAATAAAAAACCAATTATTTATAGACACATTCACACATCTCTAAATTCTAGAGCTTGTATTAAAAATATGTGTGTAAATATCTACACATATATGTGTATTCATACTTCATTTAATTCTGAAGAAATCACCACAATCTAGACCCTCAAATGGAGGACTCCCATCTATTTCCAACGGTCTAAAATCCCTGAAAAGGATTTAGCCACTCCAGATTGTTTATAAAACTGAATACTTGTATGATGGTTTCCTATTAACTGTGCTCTAAAAGGAAACTGTGTGGTAGATACTCGTAATTCGAATGAAGAAATTTAGACTTTTTATTGAAGAAATTAATAAAGCAACTGGGACCTGACTTTCCTCAGACTTTCTTTGTTCCAGAGCAGGGTTCATCCTCTGCCAACCCCACGTCAATGACAAAGAAAATGAAATTTCAAGATAGTATAGCTTTTTTCTCACCACTAGAATAAATGAAGAATGAAGCAGCACATTGTTTGATATTAATCTGAACAAGAACTACATACTTTGCTATTGCTGCTTTAATACGAATTTTGACCAGACAAATATGAAGTACATGAGCAAAATTATATTTAATTGCTTCATTCATTTCTGAGGCTTTTTTTGTATGTACCTGTGTAGTGCAATCAGGCTCAGATTCTTCTGAATCAGAAATATCAGAGTACTCTGAGGATCCATTCCTGAGTTCTGATTTCACACTTTCAAAGAACACTGCAGAGAGAAGGATTAAAATAGAAGACACAACATTAACTATGTTAACATTTAACAGCTGTTTTTGAAGCAAAACCCAAGAAACACATATTTTAACAGTCTGTAAACAAAGGCAAATGCATACAGTGATCTGGCTCACAAGTTTGCTTAGGATGATAGCGAGTTTTCTACTGCTGACCAACAGACTCCTCAAGCAATTGAGCAGATGAAGACAGGAAAAAACAGTTTATATTTCTTCTTTCCCTAAGGGCACCCACTTCAGAGATGTCACTTGGGTAGTTTCTGGGTATTTTTGTACAGGCTGGAGTCAGAGCAGTTTTCACCAGCATGTACCCTTAAAAGACTGCATTTGTCCCAAGGAACCACAATTGCTAAGTGTTTGGAAACACATTGCTAAGTGTTTGGATTCCAGGGCTCAAGGCCAGGAATGAGCTGTATGTATACCTGGGTCAAGGCTGCTGGCAAAAATTTTGATTAAGTACAAATTCATTAAAGATGACAATGTGCAGTTCAGGTAGCATAAGTTTTTTGGAGAAAAGCAAAAAAGGGTAAAAAAATAATGACTCTGTGTCAACAAAATAGGGTCTAAAGAAAGAAACATTACTTTAAAAGTATTTATAGTTTCATACAAAACAGTGCTGAAAACAAAGCTGAGCAAATCAGAAACTAACTTTAGAATGAAGACAAGTAAAATTGAAATGTTGTTTGTTTTCAGCATAGTTTTACATGAAATCACATAAAAACACAATTCTTCCTAACTATAATTATGCAAGCATAAAGGATGTACCTGTAACTATGTATACACTGCAATTCTAGTTGAGGTTTGCTCCTATTGAAGACTGTGGCAAAGATTACAATTAGGCAAATATATTTGAAGGGATATTATTGATTTCTAAACACTGCCCAGTGATAACTATTTTTAGAGTCAGAAGGAAGCTAACATGACATTTGTCATCAGAAAGTGAGTAAATTGAACAGCTGGGACCAAAAGCTAGAGAAGACTGACTAAACTTAAGAGAGTATTAGAAAGAACCATGAGGAATATCCAAGCACATTAAATGAGCAACACCACTGTATAGGAAATTAGGCTTTATAAAGTAATGCTCAACATATAATGATAAATTAATGCTTTTAATTACTGCAGCTCAAAACAACCCAAGGGATTTCTGACTATAACTCATGCCTCTGGCTCATTTCAAAAAGGCAAATAAGATTCTAGGATAAGGAAGAGTAGGAACAATACAGAAAACAGAATTTTAGAGATCAAAAGAACTTTTCTTCAGACTATCTTTTCCAAGAAACTATATTGCCTCCAGAGACAAGGAGGAATATTCCCCAAAATGGGTGAGTGAGAGTAGTCACTATCTGTGAGATCAGGCTAAGACACTGTGAAGTAAGAAAGATCTCAAACCACTCTCCCTTCATTCACACCAAGTATCTTGCTCAATTAAGGACAGCTCTTGATCTCTGTCCCTGTGCTAACACTGGGTCACCATTTAAAACCAGGATCTTGGCATGACACACAAAGCTAGACAGAGCCTGATCTGTTTAAAGGCATCTGTCTGTGGACATTCCTCTTGGCCTCAATCCCAGTAAGAACAACCAAAGTTGGCAGCTCTTCTGGGAACAGGTAGTTCCTCTGCCAGAATTCTCTGCAGACAATGCCTTTCCCCTCTCTCTCTAGAGTCTCAGTTAAGGTAAAATAATCACACATAACACAAACTCAGGGAAGTCTGAAGACACTCAATATTCAATTAAAAATATCAGGATTAGTCCTAAGCGCTCAATTTTTGGAAGAACAATTCCAACATTCACTTTTAGTTCTAAGTACATTTAATGCATTTGGATACTCGCTGCCATATTCATTCTGTATCAAATAAGAGCAATAATTTTGAAGAAAAGTTACCATTCCTCTGTATGATTTAATCTTTGATTCAAGTGCAAAATTTAGTTTGATTTACTTAGTTTAATTTTGGAAGTTGAAAACCACTACAGTAAGCCTTCACTCAACAAGCTGTTTGCCCTGTTTCAAGAATACCCAAGAGAGACTTCTCTCATGTGCAGGTTTTTTAATACTGTCCTCTGTGACATATGGAAGCACAGTCAACAGGGATTATAGTTTGCCTTGTTAATGAAAATAATTAAATATTTTATTCAGGCTGACAGCAGAGTCAAATGGTATGGTCTCTTGTGCAGGAAACTCAGAACTGGAAGTCTCCAGAGGAGTCTAACCATCTTTTAAGTGTTGACTTCAGTTTTGTAATAGACACCTCCTGAGCCCTTTTAAGCTCTACTGTGAATGGATGTGACTTATAATAAAGCAGGGAGCTGAACAGCTATGTCAAGGACTAATTCTATCTGCACACAGGTAAGAGCTATTAAACACATGCATTGGCAACAGGCATTTAGTATTGATACTTTACTAATACACTGTGTGATTATCACTGCTGAACACTTGGCAGGAGGCTACCAAAAACCACTAAAGATTAATTCCCAGTGAAGGGTGGTTTAAAGCACTGGAAAGTGGAATGAAAGTGTTTTACAGATAACCTAAGTTCTTTCCTAACCTTGCAGATTACAAGGGTCAAATGCATAAGATTTTACTAATGTTAAATTATGTCTTTTCACTTGTATGGAATAAAGCAATTCATTAGTAAAACATATAAAATTGTATGATCAACTATGAAATTGCCAGGTTTAAAATTGGCTATGTATTATGATCTTTCATTCTCCAGAGTGAAATGATGATGAGTTTTACACAATGAGGTATATTTTGGTTTTAAAAACAAAATCCAATCAGCATTCTTACATTATGAAGCAGACCTAGAGTAACAAATACTCATCCAGAACACCAATTAAATCTCCACTGTGAAAAATGCTCTCCATAGCATTCATGACAGCACTAACAGAAAAAGGTGAGTTTTACTTTTCATCTCTATCCTGTTAGCTTCTTCAGTAGACAAATATTTAAGAAATGTTTTGTGTAACTTCTAATACTACTGCTCTGATTTATTTATCATCTATATACTCAATCAGACTGAAATATTACAAAAGGTAGTTAGACCCTCATTGAGATGATCAAAATGTTCAACTGATAGGACATGGAGACAATCTTACTGTTCAGTGGTTTCTGGGCATCTGCATTCCCTTCTCCTTCAAATCCTGAGGGCTGCTCTTCTACCTTCACAGCTGTCTTTTTTGACCTTGTCCTGTCATCTTCATCTTCACTGTCTGCTGTGTAAAGACTTCGATCTGTAAATGGACGTCTCTCATCTCTTCTCACAAGAAAAAAAAAAAGAAATCAGTTTTTACTCTTAAAAACCTGAAGCAACCATTTTCCTTCCACTATTTACAACACACTTTCAAGACATAACAGTAAGATTCTCTTATGCTCATCTCTTCATTCTGAATTGTAGGTATTCCCACTCACTTCCTATACAACTGTCATTTCAATAAAGATATGAAGTTTAACATCAGAGTACTTTTAATGAGAAGCACTCTTATAAACAGATACAAAACAACTCTTTCTACTTTGAAGCATTCCCTTCAGTACTGAGCAAGTGAATGAAATGCTGTAACAAAGGAATATGCAAAGAATCCCTTCCTCTTCACTTCCTAACTGTGGCTCCACTAGGGGACAGCAGACACAGACACTCCTGTATTCCTAACCAGACTCTTCCTGGGAAGAACTTAAGAGCTCTACAAATAGAAATATTAACAATTTGCATACCCCAGACCATAATAACCAGGAAAAAGTGTTCACAAGCAATCCTTTATACCTAATTATTCTTCCATTTGACAGCAGAAGGCGAAGATCATTGTCTTTTGTTCTCCATTCAGGTACTGTAGAAGAGGGCTGAAAGGGCTTGTTAAACCTTCCATTCAGTTTTGAGCTTGTGATATCCTAAAGAAGTAAAAGTAATCTTGCTTATTATTTCCTCCTATGAATTCAATTGGTTTTTTCTGCACTCCATAAAAGATTAAATTCACTACTAGCATGGTTACCACCTGGAAAACCAACTGAGAAAAGCTCAGACAAAACATGTTTGGATTTAAAGAACTTCAGGAGATGACTGCACCTTCTCCTTCCTTGAATCATTTATACTCTCCTGAAGCACCTGAAACAAATACAACTTGCCTAGAATACTCCTTTTATGTTTCCTTTGGAGAAATACCAATACACTAAGGCAAACCGGAAGCTGGGCTTGGAACTGCTACAGCAACTCCTGGGTTGGGTGCGTGCTTCCTGATATTAATATCTCAGAACTGATTGAAAGGACAGCAAAATATCAATAATGGATAGTAACTTGCCTTAAGCAGAACTTTCTTAGCTCAAAGCAATTTAAATTTGACATAAACTCTGAAACAATCTATCCATATCACATATGACAAAGAGTTCTAGTCTGTATTCTTACGCATCTTCAAACTATTTTCTTTTCAACAGATTAGAAAATTACTCTGGTTTTGTTTTTTCTCACACACAACTCAATACTTGCCTCTTCCCATGGTGACATCTCCAGCCTTTTCAGTACCTCCCTAGTGTGAAGTTCCAGGATGTCCAGATTGGAAGGAGTTTTGGTAGCATGGTCTCGCAGCTTCCTCACCCTTCGCCTGGAGTGGTGAGGGGAAGCTGTTTCATGTGAAGATCGTGAACTTGGAGACACACCAAGAATTCCCTGAGTTTTAACTAATTTGCTGTTTTCCTCCTGTAATTAAAAGCACTTTTCAGAATAGTCTCAGAGGAATAAATCCACATATTTAAGTACTGCTTCTTATTCATCTAATTAAATGTAAATTATGTAAGGAAAATTGTTAGACATTTTTAGATTAGTAACTACATGTTTCATTTGGATTTGATGTACAAAGTTTAGTTCTACTGCACCTTTTTTCATCTAAGGCTTTTATGCTACTCCACAAGAGTAGTGCCACCAAAACACATGGTTTTATTCAGGAAGGCAACACAGGGTAGATATGTATTGCACACAACAGATCACATCCCCTCAGATTCATTCTCTTCACATCCCCTCAGATTCATTCTCTTCACATGGAAATGTGAGAATTTTTCAAGAATCAATAACCACTGAAGAATAAAGGAGCAAAACACTGATATAGGAGTTGTAAGAGTTTAGGGAAATCCTACCCCACTGAGTATTACACACACAGCCATAAAAGAGAGGAGTGAGCAAAAGAGATGACAACTAGACCAGAACTAACTCACAAGTAGATAGGAAAATGGAATATGCACAGAATATCAAATTAAAGTCTTTAACAACACATTAATAATATTTTTAAGTAGTTATAAGTAACTACATTTTAGAAATGCTAAACTACAAATAATTCCACCATTAAAATCTAAAAATCAACAAAAAATACATAAAGTACCCACTATCCATTTTCTTTATCTGAAATACCCATAGCTTAGTATTCCAAACAGTTTTCCTCTTGATGTCCTATTATTAAATGAATGGTAAATAAATGAAAAGGTGAATATGATCACCCAGAAGCATAACTTTGATGGAGTTGCCCGATTCAAAGATTTATTTTCTGAAAACTTATGTAGGGCTGCCTCTGTTCTTACCTCTACAGAACGAATCACTTTAGAGAGCTCTTTGATGAGATGCCCAGGCCTAATGTTGTCTGGAATTTCAAAGGCATGTTCTGTTACAAGCTGTGTGCAAAGAGAGAAGAAAAAGATACTTAGTTTTGGGGTTTTTTTTCCCAGATAAAAGCAGAAATAAAATGAAATAAACAAAACTACAAGGGAAAAAATAAAAGTAAAATAAAAACCAGATTCATTTCTGTAATAATGATCACAAACTGCCAGGACTGATATACACATGCAGTAGCTTCCAGTCCATGCTTTAGTAGCCAGCAGATATTCCTCAGTGTCTCCAACATTCCAAAGAAGAGGTAACAAAGCCATACTGACAACCACTTTATTTTTTTTTTTTATCCTCAGTACAGTAATCTCCTTTTTTCCCCTTTACCATGGTCAGAATAGAGCAATACTTTGACATTCATCAGAGCCATGACTTTAAGAACACCTTAAGACTAAGGGAATGTCACCCTGACAAAAATTTAATCTCAAGAATAACCATGAGTAACCAAGATGCAGATTTTTAGACATCTTCCTGACACCCAATTCTTAAAATTTACCTTCTTAGTTTATTTAAAATCTAGCAGGTTGGAAAATGCAACTCAGAAAAAAAATGCCTATTCCTTATAAAAATATAGGAAGTTGTAAGAGTTTATGTTCCCTTTAATCCTCTGAAACCATATCAGAGACAGATTTCATATATACACACACACAACAAGAGTTCAAATACTCCATAGTTAGATCCAGCAAAAAATATTTTGTATGTAGTTTAAATGTCCATTTAGAACACTTCTAGTATGAATTAAACAGATAAAACATCACTTAACACAGGCTAGAATGACTGCCTTGAATTCCTGTAATCAACTACTTAAATGGAAAAATATCCCAAACACTTTCAGCTACCCACATTTCAAAAATGAGATTCAGCAGCAAAATGATTGCTAGAAGCAATTCAATACTGTATGTGCGTTTCATTGAACCTGGCTTCCTCTCAGTCATCAAAACAAATGCTTTCTCCCCCTCCCAAAAAAAACCAACACCAACATATAATCATGATATGATTATTCATTTCAGTGCCCCTAATTCTACAGGGAAGATTAGATCAGCTGCTATTATTTACCATTGTTCATTCTTTGAAGGTATCACAGCTCTACACATTCACCCTGGAGAAAACAGCAGCTCTGTCACTAAATTGTATAATTTTTCCATCCAGTTGTTGGTCATTTTAGGGCCATTCAATCCTTCCTACTTCACTGTCTCAAAAGAAGATGAGTTTGAAATTCTCTAGAAAATGGCACAAACCAATTCTCTAAGATAATTCGCCTATTTAGAAAAGACATGCTCCATGACACAACTGTGAAAGCTCATGAGAGGGGTTCTCACTTGAGGAGCATGCATTTGCCATTTTTCAGGAACTGTCTGAAATCCTCAGCAGGAGCAGCTCAAACTGCAATGCACAAAGCTCCTCCTGTCCTCACCTGCCCACAACTCCAAACCTATCACACACATGGTCTGCTGCACAGCAGGACTGGCTCAAGGAGGAAGCAGCAGCCAGAGAAGATGGGTGTAGGGTATGAAACATGATAGCTGGTGGCCAGCAGACATCACTGTGGCTGAATCACTGATGCAGTGCACTTCACTCACAATGGCTGTGTCTGTTCATCCAGTGGTTTAGGAATACTCAAAGGTCTCATTAATAAGCATTCAGAATGCAGCAAGTGCAATTGATTTCTCTTCCACAGAGAATGAGAGAATGTACCACATTCCATATGAATCAAAATACTCAATGACCTACTAGACAGTACACAAATGCTACAATACTACACTACAGCAATCTAGAAAAAATGAATGCCAATCCAATTTCAAACCAAAATAAGGATTTATATAGGCTGTGTTTATTATCCATGCCACAGATGCAAAGATGGCTTGGATTCACACGTGGTTCAAGAGCTTAGGCCCTGTAAACACTGAGACATTGCTTGCTAACAAGCCTTCATCCAGAAGAGCAGAGACCAAGAGACACTGGAGAACCAACTCAGAGGGCCTGCAGAGTTTCATCTGGGATCAGTAATGCTGCACAGGCTGGACCCCAGCACATTCCACACATGAAAACCACCTCTGCATTTGCACCTCATGTCCAGTTCCACAGAGCTCATACTTTTGGATGCAGTATTATGCAATTATCATATATAATATCATGCATACATATTGCATAGGAAGTTCTCTTACAAGTAGAATTTGTGAGCAGAAAGAACAGAGAGATCTCAAAGAGCCAGTTCAAGTCTGGCTTGCAACAAGACAGTATCACAATCAGCAACAAAGTAGAATTAATACCCTCAGTCAGAACCAAACTGCCTGTCAGTGAACAGCACTTCCCAGGAGCACTGCTTCCAAGAGGCTTTATTAGCACAGGCACATGAAAAAACACATGGAGTTAGGCCAGACCCAGCTCTGTGCCAAAACAAGCTTTCCTGGAGAAAAGAGCACCAGCAAAGCCAGCACTGATGGCATACTTATGATTTTACAAGAGTCAATAAATGTTGAGCAAGGACAGTTTTCAATTGAAGTCAATATTCCTCAATATGAATTTAAACTGACTCTTCAGCAGGTGTAGCTGAAATGTGCTTTCCACACCACTGACATGAATGGAAAATGAAAAATGCCGTGGTATTCCATCCCTCCACTGCCTCAGATGACGATTAATTGAATGTATTAACATATTTCTTAGAAAATTCCCCACCTTATCCTCTGGCACTCTTACCCTATCCTGAGGTAAAGCAAGATTCTACCTCAATCAGCCATAATACTGGAGCTTATTAAATGGCCTAATAGACTTGGAATAATCATGGAATCATGATTATTGGAATGTAAGTCTTGATGAGTCTTGATGCCAAAATCCAATATAAACTTTACCCTAGCCATGGACACATCAGTTTTTATTTTTATGAAGTTTATAGGTCATAGCATTGTTCAGTGACTAATCATGGAATAAAAAATTGCCACTAATCATGGAATAAAAAATTGTCATTATGATTCTTCCCCAAATCAGCAGTATATACTTCCAATAGACTTTTTCAGTACTCATTAACAAGCAGATAAAAATAACCCTAAACTTTAAAAGGGCTTAGATCTTCACTTAGTTTTAAATCAAAACAGAGCTCACCAAAATAGCAAACAAAATCACTTATACGTACTTCTTTTTTCATCCATAATTTTAAAGCAGTAAGTAAAGCCTTCACTCCTTGCACTAAATAGCTTGGAGGCTGGAAACCATCTTCCCTCAGTTCTAAAAAGGATACAGAAACCAATTTAGAAACACATCAAGAGAGAAAATAGAAAGATACCTACCCTTCAGCCAATAAAGTTGCCATTGTGCAACAGCACAGTAAAGGAAAAATTTTTCAAGCAAATGAAACATGGCATGCTGCATTTATGTGCATACTGTAACAAGAATGACCATGAAAAAAATCAAATCCAACCCCAGAGTGATTCTACATAAAACTTCCTTTTTTTAAACTTTTTCTTGTATTAATTAGGGTTAGTTTACAACATACTAAAGGTCATTTTGGAAAAAAGAATCCAGATCTAAAATACAGAACAAAAAAAAAATAACACATTTGAAGAAAGAAATCACTTTTATTTCATTGAGAAATATTTTAGTCAAAGGGGACCAGCAGGATGTGGGATGTATCTCTAAATTTTTGAATTTGCATTGCTTATCTCCATACATATGCAAATGGCTCACACTAGCATACTTCCACTTCCCAAACATTTTGTCACCCTTCCAATTATCACAGTTCTCCCTCACATGGTTTACACCGTTTTTACTCCCAAAATCAAAGGGACAGGGGGTGGAAACCACCCTGCTTCAGAATCTTCTCTTCTTAGGGAAGTTGTGCTCCCAACTGACTGCAATTCTATTTCATTCTCTCTTTGCTTCATAGGGGTAAAAAAAAGAAGGGAAAAAATAAATCCTCTATAAACAGTCAAAAGTAGATTAAAACCTCTCCTCATGTTCCTGATAAGTATTTCCACTTGTCAATAGCAAATGGATCAACACTAGAACCATTTGGCTCACTTTATCCCCTTAAAAGAACACAGTAATAAAACATGATTCTTATGGATTTTGTATTAGGAAGCTGGCAGGAAAAGGAAGGTTCTGTGAGTAAACAGCTGCTCTTCTCTCCAAGGCCTCCTACTTATTAAAGGGTATGAGAGGTACTAGCAGCAGCAATCTTCCTGCCCATTAGCTGACTTAGTTGGCAAAATTTTAAGAATACAATGGAGTACCACAGGCTGAATCTTGTAGATGCAATAGAAACAATTGCATGTATCAAAAGTAATTCAAATTAACGAGTACAGCATACATGAACTACAGCACACATCGCCTATTTTGAAACCCCAAGAATTAAGAAAATTATTTAGGTGAGTGCAATAATACTTATCCTGAAACACTTTCTGGCAATAAAAAGTCAAATTCAAAATGTTTATGACCTTGTTACCATTCTATAAAATGAAGCAGAAAGACATGCTGTGCTGATTTTGCTCACTGACCTGAATTCCATAAAAAGTACTGCTAACAGCTGGACATCACCATTACCCCACAAAACTGAACTGGCATCATCCTTTATTCATAAAACAATGGATTCTGACTAGCAAACACCTAATTCATATGAGCCTTGATGCCAAAATCCAATATAAACTTCACCCTAGCCACGGAAACATCAGTTTTTATTTTTTGTGATGCTTATAGGTCAAAATGCTGTTCAGTGACAAAACATCTGCTAAACCAAAGATTAAACATAACAGGAGAATAAGCTTCACAGCTCTTCCCTAAGACACAAGGGGCTCATAGCCTATGGACTCAAGGAGCCATGGGATAAAAAAAGGAGAGGGAAGAGTGGGGTGAACAGACACAGCTTATAGTTAGCTAGATCTTACAGAAACATATGTGTGCTTTTCCAGCAGGAACACAGTTCCTATGGCTTCTGACGAGTTTGTAAACATGAAATATGCATGAATGAGAGAAACCAAAGCAAGCTTTCAAGATAAAAATACTCTTTTTGGAAGAAGAAGTTTTCTGTAAGTTTGTACTGTTTGGTACAATTTCTGAGCTGCTCTGGGGTCACTGCAAGACTTCAAATACTCATTCAGGAATTAAGGGCTGTTCAATGTTTTAATTTGCTGAAAGGAAAAGAGAATTTTCAATAACTTGTACTGTTTTCACATTAGAAACACTTACATGGAATTCTGATCTATTACAAAACAGAAATTGAATTCAGCAGCCTCCTCTGAAGGTTGACATCTGTCCTTTGAAATACACTGTATTATTAAGATTAAACAGAGCAGGCAGAGGGCAAGATACTTGAGCAAAAAAAGGTGAAGTCAGATAGGCACTCTCTCAAATATACATGAGTACAATTGCAGCAATTAAGGAATGGGTAAGGAAGTTTGGAGAAGAACAGCAGCTGTTAAGAACTGGAGGCTGTTGAGACACCTCTTGGATAAACACTGATATAGTGATTTAACACAGCCCATAGGAACTGGTACACATCTTTCCTACAAAAGCCCTCACAGACATCTTTCCTTCCACAACCAGCAGCAGAGGACAGCAAGCACTGTGACTGGAAAGGCCAAAGAAAATTGTAGAAGTGCAAGAAAACTTCTATGTTTGGTTGTGAAGCCACCAAGGAGAAACTCACAGATATAAGTTAGGGGGATCATTTCACAGAACTATTTGCTTAAAGTAAAGGCTATCAAAGGATATTCAAAGATCTTAAATTATATGAAAGAAGCCTGGGAGAAAAACTGATGCCATGGTCCATTATCACTTAAGAGAAAAAGAATTATAAAAGCAGGTGTATGTGCATCTGTTAAAATAAAACATGCGTTACCTTTCAATGTTTCCAGTAAGTTTTTGGCCACAAACCAACAGATGGCTTCAAAGAAAGGAAATTTGAAAAGATCCGGGGTTTTTAGCCTCTTCTCCATTTCATAACACCTGAATAAATGCAATTATTACAAAACATGAATGCTTTAATTATCAAATTCATTATTCAACTATGTAATCATTCAAATTGACACAATGTCCAAAATAAAATGAAATAAAATAACCATGGCCATGATAAATAAAAGAAGTCAAGTACCACATAGTTAAACCCCAACAAGACCACAGACAAGATTGAACTCTGGTCTCATTCAGGCTCTGACCTTATCAAGTTTGACTGCGGCACTTCTAAGAATAAAGTTGGACTTCATAAAACTAGGATACAAACCCAATGTGTGATCTTTTAACAGATGGAATTTTATCGGGATTCCACTGTAATAAATAAAAACAATATGTTTAGAAGACAGCTCTACATCTTGGACAAAAACTAAATACAGCTGCCCTTAGAGCAATGCTGACTTGAGGATGCTCATTTCAACTCGGTGTCGCACACCTGGGCTTGCTTAGTTTTGTTTTACTCACTTATACTAATCTCCAAAGTAGATTTTTTTTCTTTTTTTTTTCCTTCTTTTAGTCACTTAAATTCTTGCACAGCCTTCATTTTGCTTTTGAAACAAACTTTGCAGAAGTAAAACAAGAGAACGTGCTTGATATATTCTAACTGAAAATGCCACTATAGTCTGTTAGAGAGCCTGCACCAATTTGATCCTGGTTAAGTGCATGAAGAAAAATCTCTATGAAAAGAATATCCTACTTACTGGGGAACAAGTACAGGAAGAGCTGAGACTAACCTGAGCTGCATGCCAATGTTGAGGTTGTGCAAAAAGTTTCCTCCAAAAGCCATACAATCCTGAGATGTGAGCACAGCGTGAATCCAGCCTGAAATGACAGATTGTGAAACTTAATACATACTTATGAATTGTTCTAGGACTGTTCTTAAATACACATCTAAGTAAAAATGCTGTTCCTGAAAGAAAAAAACCAAACAGATTTGTATTCTGTGCCAGGAACAAGTAATTTTAACAACATGTAAACTATAATTTTTCAGAAATCTAATGGAACTGTAGTTTTCTGAAATAATTAAGCTTAAAACATTTATCACTGGGAGGGGGCAGTAAGGATGCAAAGCCAACTTGTCAAGTAAAAATTCCAAAAGTTTTCCCTTCAATCCACAAATATAAACAACTCAGGAATGGAAAAATATACTGAACAAAAGACCAAGTCATAAAAATAAAATTATATGTCTTTCAGTATTTACATGTTGCTTACAGTAACTGGCTTGTTCGAACAACATAAAATCATTTAGCAATACTGAAGTTTCTCAAATAGGAATTCAGAAGTGGTCCTATAAATCATTCTAAATACAGCCATTCTAAGTCAAGTGAAATTATGATCAGTTTAAAACCCAGTCTAGACACGCTATAAACTTTGTCACATAACTGAAATATTGTCCTTCAGAAATCCACTATTCAACACAGTAAAGCATGGCCAACGTTACACTATCGATCTAGCTAATTACTAGGGGATAATTTCAACTAAGCACACAAAAGAACACATTACATGAGCTGCCTGATTAAAAATAGTTATCTGTGAAAGCTTTAGTGTAAGTAAACTGTGGAGCTTTAGTGTAAGTAAACTACAAGGAGACTTTCTCTGTCAAGATCTGATTTTGCACGCCTACAGATGCTCTTTGACACAAGGTGAACTGGCCAGACATTTGCAGACTACTTCACGCTTTCACCAAGTGTAGGCAAGATGGACTAACACAGGAAGTTTCCCAATTTGAGGAAAGATCAGACCAAATCACAAACAACTACATATTACAAACTAGCATTAAATCTATGCCCTAATTCAGCTAATGATGAGCAGTTCCATGGTATACCTGTATCAACCTAAGATATTAATTTTTTTTCATTCCTGCTTGCTATTTTTATGCTGCACTTTTGATCCAAGTCTACATAACAAGGAATGAAAATTTGGTGTAGACCACACAGAATATATTGAATAATATTTAAATAACTTCAAAGAGCCTCCCAGTAGATGCTATTCACCTACATGTAAATTTAATTTTAGATCAGAAGACTACTCTGAACATATTTCCAAGATTATAAAATAATTATGACATCCAGTAGCATCTGTGTGAGGAGAAACAGCAAGTGATTTTCACCAGAGATGAGGAGATTTTTTGTCAAAGTCTTTCCTCAGTCTTACAGATAATTTCCCATTTTTTTAAACACCTGTCTTGAAACCTAGTTTAAATTACAGGTTCTTCTGCTGCATTCCATCATATGTATATGAATATGTGTGTATGCACATACATGCACACGTGTATTTCGAAGTACTCTTTTATTGGTACACACAATGAAATACATGTACATATGAGAAATTACCATCTGATGATACTTTTCTTCATGGCCATATTACAGTGATAGCTTTCTAAGTAATCAGCTGAATCTGAGCTATCTTCTGTCAGTCACAATAAAGTTTGTCATTCTGTAATTCTGCTTTCTCTGTTCATAGACCTTTGCAACTTACATACATGGACAATGAATGCTATTTCTTACTGGAAATACTTGTTTTTAAAAGCTCTGGTTGTTCCAGAATATCAAGAGCACGCAGAGGGCATCATCAAGTAGTACTTATTCTGCACAAGCTGTGAACTAGAACAGTGAACACTGAACCTCACAGGTACAGAACTGAGCTATGAGAAAAATGAAGTAGTCTAGAAGGAACAGGATGGAATAATGTACTGATCATAATCTTCAAGGTTTCTTCCAGAACTATAATTGTAAACCATTTTCCTGCTCCATGTATTTAAAGCTTTCTTTCCAGTGAAAAAAGAGAAGACAGCACCCAGTACAAATTTTCAATAATAAAATACTAAAAAGCATTTATAGGGACAGGTTGGATAAGCAAAAATACCAAAACCTGGCAGTCACTTTATTGGCAAAATATTGTTTGATTTATTAAAGACTTGTAAGCTTATGGCATTAGGGAGTTTGTGTAGGGTGAGGTGTTTAGTTTGAAGCATTTGTCTGTTTTTTATTCTTTTATTAAAGAATTCTTTTGACACTTCTCACAAAAAAAGCAAACCAAAAACCCACCCAACTTTTATTCTTCATACTCTAGCCTACAGCATAAGAAGTTTATGCAATGTTTTGTAATAATTAGGCTTAGTAGGCCTTGGAATACTGAAATCTGTAAAAATAAAACTGTATTATAAAATTAGGATAAGAATTCAGTCTGAATACTTAACAAATAGTGAACAATCTGAGTTTATAAATTGGAACTACTTTCCTGATAATCAAAATCAACTTTAATTTGTTGTCTTCTAATTGAGTAACAAATACCCTTTCATTCCCTGATAATTGTTATGACTGTCAGGCAATCTTAAAAACTAATTACTTGCTTTGAAAATCTAAAGTTCTAATTGTTTTATTATTCTCTTTTATCCATAATTTTAGAAGATACCAAATGTTGATAATGCAATTATTTTACAATATTCATAATTCCTGGTGATTAAACTTGCTAAGTCCAAATACCAAGAGTAGGCTTACCTGTTGGGACAAATAAAGTGTGTCCTTGCTTCACAACACACTTGTAACACTTGTCAACCTTGTCCCCAAAATATACTTCACTCTGGGTGACAGATGAACTCCAGGACTCATAGAGAGCCAAATTTTCATCAGTGGGCTTGATCAAATAGAATATCTTCTCACCCTATTAAATAAATACACCAAATAAATAAATTAATGTTTTCCTAGAGGTACATTACAACGTCTGAATCACTCCTAATGAAGTAACAGATTGACCTAAATGTAAAGTATTCCATCTTCCCACTATGGCATGTTCAGGCAATGTCTCACAAATGCAATCCACCAAGAGCTTAGATACAGCATATTAAACAGGTGGTGTCTTGTGATTTAAAGGAAGTAAACAAACCAATCAGAACTTTTCATGGGAATACAAAAATATCCAGGTTTTATAAACAATTCATGGATATGTCCACACCTACCAAAGGAGAAAATGAATGGATGAAACCACTTTGCCTCTTCTATGAAGTGCACATGGTCAGATTTTTGAGAATAAAAAACTGAGTATGCCAATGATTTTCATTCAATTATTTTTTCCTGCTAAAACCTCACTATATCACCCACAGGTCTACTGAAGTGATCAGTCAACCAATTACAGTCTACAAGTCATGCTAAAATAAAAGCATAAAAATGCAACACCAGAGATCAGTAATTCGCTTTCAACCTCCTCCCTTGGCACTGCAAGCCCAGGATTTCATGCAGGTGATAATGCTACAACAGAAGGTTGAACACTGAGTAACTTTTGTTTCACATAGTCAAAGACCTCCAGGGAGTGGCTGGGCCCTGGAACAGCTCCCCAGCAAAGTGGGCACAGCACCAAGCCTGACAGAGCTCAGGAAGTGTTTGGACAATGCTCTCAGGCACATGGGGTGACTCTTGGGCTGTCCTGAGCAGGGCCAGGAGCTGGACTTGATGATCCTCATGGGTTCCTTCCAACAGAGCATATTCTGTGATTCTGTAAATCAAGCAGCATTCATACCCAGAGAACGTGGTACCAAACTGATGTTCCTCCAAAATCAATATGAAAATCTGTATAGCTGTCCTGGACACCCATTAAGCAATACTTCTGAACGAAAGGCTTAGGGAAGACAGAATCATCTGGCCAATAATTTTCCACCCACGAAAGCTTTCTGGCAATGTCTGGTACTTCCACTAATTCAGACATCCTTTTAAAACACAAACAAACAAAAAAGAACTGTTAATATAAGCAGGAGTAAGCACACCTCTTTTTAAATGACAGCTTCCTACAAAGACATTACTTATGAACTAATAAATATGTTTTATACCCACATTACATGACAGTGGCTGTCTACATAAAATACACCTCCTCCTGTCTTTCCCACTACAGGCATTATATTCCTACACATATTTTTCAGCTTAGTGAAAACCACTTCCTACATTCAAGGAATTGAAGTCAATACTCACTTTGTGTCCGAGAACTCCAGGCTGATCACATTCAATACTTTGGGTCGGTCAGGATTTGTGAAGTATTTAATGTAATTATGGAGCTTCATTTTACTGTCTGCTTGTCTTGCTACATCTATGACATCTATTACTTTGTCACCACCTGTGAAAAACAGGATGACCTTCTTAAGGCTATCACAGATAAAAGACATTTCAGGAACTTAAGAGAAAATTAAGCTTTTTTCCAGTCTTCATCAAAACATTTCTGCAGAAAAACTCTACTACTATCATTATTCTCTTGGAAGAGAGACAGATCAGTATAAACCAACTTTTTATTAGGTTTAACTTTAATTACTATAATCCACCAAGGACAGAACTGAAAACACTCTAAAAATAAATCCTCTTTCCTGTGGTTAACCAAAAAGAAAGAGTAATATACAATGGCAGCATCTGTTTAAAAAAAAAGGGTTTAGGGCTGCAATTGCAAAGAGTAGCATGGACAAAGTTATCAGGGCAAATCTCTTCCTCACTTTTCTTATCAAACATCACCAACCCCCACCTTCCTTACATACAGGCACAACTTGCAAGCACACAGTACTTTCACTGAATAATTACCATGGGTGTGTTTCTTTTCTGATGACAGAGAGGGAGTCACAGACCATGTGTTCTGAAGTGATACATTTAGAGAACTAGACAGGCCAAGAGAAAGGACTAACACCACCACTATAACAGCAATTGGTTTATGTCCTTTTAGTTACACAATGGCCAAGTTTGACACTTAATTTTGGAATGCTGGAAACATGCCTAGATGTAGATTATAAACATATTCACTTTAAAACTGTAGGTTTGTATCATCTTGATAAATTCCAGCTGAAATAGTACTTATTCAGTTTTCTTATTTTTAATTTTAATAATATGAAGGTATATCTGTGACATTCCAATTTTTTCCCTGAGCTGGAAAACTTGTCAGGTCAGCATGAGACAGTCAAGTTTCTATCTGAATCCAAAGAGACAGTAATCCAGAAAAAAAAAGATTCAGAAATATCCCCATAATAATTACTCTTTAAGGCAGAACAGACATTTCTATTTATCATCACAATGGTGACAACACTGCATATTCTGGTGCCTTTGTAAAATATTGATGGACAGAAAACCTACTTTCAGCACACATCACTAGGTGATGGTGAGAACACACTCAGACTGTCAGCTGTACCATGTGTTACAGGAAATGTCCTGCTGCACTTGCCTCAGCCTCTGTCTGTACTGCACATTTACATCAGGCTGGCACAATTACACACTGGTGAGACATCTGGTAAGAAAGAAGTGGTCCTTGGGAAGCCTCTCCTGGCACAGGATGCCAAGGTAGGAAAATTTCAGGAAGATTTAACTCAGAAAGGCCAATATATTGAGTCCAAAACATTAAGTTTTGTCATAGCCTAACCAATGATTAAATTTATTAATCCTAAGAGTGAGTCATTCAATTCTCATTATCCTTGGATTACATGTAGCAGAAAAAAACTTCAGAATTCCACATATAGCTTGCCCTGAAATTAACAGGTTTGGAAGTTGAGACATAAGGCTGTAGTCCTATCACACACCTACCAAACAGACAGACACACACACAAAAAAAAAAAGGGGGGGGAAGAAAAAACCACTCCAAACCACAGCGTTGATTTTACACTCTCCTAGTCTTGAATTTAGAATAAATATTTAGCACTCTGGAAGCTCTTATAATCATTTAGTATTTAATCATTTAGTATTAGCAAGAATTTATTTTAATTTACAGACAGGACCATTTTACTAAGTACTCCAGAGAGACTCTTACCCACATAGCGTTCCACATCTAAAACGGAGAAAGTTGGTGGAGGAAGCCTGAGTCCCAGACCATCTAATTTAGCAACCATAATGGGAACATCAAACCCATGTTTCTCCAGATATCTTTGTGTTAACTGGCTTCCATGCATTTTCAAAATTACTTCATCAGCACTGGTGGAAAGAAAGGATGGACTATTAGCAAGAAAAGAATCCTCCAAGCACTACCGAAATAAAAAAAGTCTCAGTTTGGGGGAGGACAGACAGGCATGGCTACATCTGAATTAAAAAGAAATACACAATATTGTTTTATTAAGCTTTAACTAAAAGACCAAGGAAACAACCTCAACAAGCAAAGAAATTTTTACTGTAATACATCATCTGGAAACTTGTAGTCTTTCTGTATGACCAAAGAGAGTAACTTAAAATGTACTTTAACGCCAGAGAAGGCATTAAAGTACATTTTGCTAACAACAACCACCAGCTGCTCTAAAGAATTGTAAGTCATCATGTTTCAGTGAGATAGCAAACCAAACTCAGGATTAAAGTATAATCATGCTTCTCCACTTTCTTCTAAAGCATGCAAGAATAGGTAGATTCTACCAGTTCATGTGAATGTTCTATGAAACTGAGAACTAAAGGAATAGACAGGCAATATTCTTACATTAAGAGCACCAACACACCCAACAAACAAAACCAAAAAAAAAACAAAAAAAAAAACAACCCACCACCAAACCAACCCCAAAACTCAAAACCTCTCAGACCACCCTGCAGCAGTCCCAACAGACAGCCCATCCCAGTGCAAAACTGAACAGCTACTGCATGAAAAGGCAAATGTATCCATCTGAAACAGGGATGCACTGGGAAGTAATCTAAAGAAGGAGGAAGTCATCCTCAACCTTCACAATGTGAAGCAGAGAAATGTTAGTCACTTCCTCTAAGACATACTCAGATGACATTTCACTGTGTTCTCCCACCAGAGTATGCAAGGAAGGTTCTGTACCTTGGGAAAGAGCGAGCCCGCAGCTGTCTAACAAAGGTCCGTGTTCCAGCCTGCACTGGTTTGGAGCCATCATCTGGCTCTGTGTAGTCATGTCTGTGCCAGTTTCTCCTCTTCTTCACTACAAGTTTCAGAAGGATTAAACATGGAATTAGTTAAATGAGATGGCTGAGATTAGCAGTCATCCCATCAGTGACATGGACATGCCTCAATCACATTAAAAAAATAAGGTTTGTTAGTCACAGTAATCAGGTGACATTCTACCTATTCCCAACAAATGACATCTGCAAGACACAGTAACTCTATAACTTTTATAGCTCCTTCTATGTGAGAATCTCAGTGCACACTATACACAAGTTAAGACTCCATATCCAGTCCAATACAAGGAAACAGGTGCAGCCTGAAAGTTGTACAAATCCAAGAAAACATGTATAAAACGAACAATCAAACTTTAAGAAATTAAAGTTCAGACTTTTTTTTTTAAATAAACAAAAGAATCACACCTCTTGAAAAGCCAGAGACTTCATTTTACATATTCACACATGGTTACAAGACTTTAATCCCACTGTGCTATTACATCCCATAAACACAGCCATATCCAGTGTGATAATATTACTGCTATTCACTACCATTTCTATTGCTTAGAATTACAGTTACAGTTTTGTGTGCAAACTGTTTTGGGCAGGTGTGACCTTTACAATATATGTAACAAAAGCACTGCACCCCAAAACATACAACTTCTTAACAGTTTGAAGTTTTAATGCACTGCTACAGCATAGTAATAAAAAATAAAGGATATAAATGAAGTTCTATTATAATTTTGGGAATCTGGAACTGAGAATTCAATTAGCAAAATTACAGTAGCAAAATTACATTCCTAACTGCTCCTTATACTTAAAGGCCAAGGAAATTGAAACACTAGACATTCTCATAAAAACTTGTTGTGATGATCTCCCTATGACAAATGACAGATACCCAAATGAAAAAAAGCATGTATAAAAAAAGTGTATGTACTTTTACAGAATCACAGAATGGTTTGGGGTGGAAGGGACATTAAAGATGATCTAGTTACAACATTGTGGCATGAACAAGGACACCTTCCACTATCCCAGATTGCTCAAGGCTCCATCCAACCTGGCCTTGAACGCTTCCAAGATGAGACATCCACCATTTCTCTGGGCAACCTGTGCCAGTGTTTTACCAATCTCACAGTAAAGAATATCTTCTTTAATCTAAATCTACTCTCTTTCAGCTTAAAGCCATCACCCATTGTCCTATCACTAAAGACCTCGGTAAAAATTCATCTTATTTCTTCCAAGCCCCCTTTACATATTGGAAAGTTGTTCTGTAAAACTTAGTAAGCTGTATGCAGCCTCCCCATTTGAATTTTTTGACCTTGAGTGAAGGAGAGGACAAAGTGACTTATGATATTGTGGTTAACTCAAATGCCTCTCTTCCAATTTTCATAATTTCATAACAAATCATTTCATAATGATTATTTCATTGATTTGGCTTCCTCAACCACTCATTTTTCATCTCCATTTCTAAAGAGCTTACAGCCTTGAACAGAAGTCCTTGGTTGTATCATCATCTGTTTGTTAGTAAACTGCTCTTTGGAGCACTTCCCCCCTGTACAAATAAACCTCTATTTCTCATCCTCAAACTCTCAACAGGCTGAGAAGCCCTATTAAATCATCAAGAGGTGTCTCTGCAAAAGGGACCACCATCTCACCATTTGGGAATCAACCTCCAAGAGTGCTGAACTTCCTACCTTTATCACTTACTGTACTAAGGAACACCCTGTGGGTCCCATAATTTTAAGGCTGCATTTCAGTTTTTCCTAAAAAAGCCAAACTCTGCTCCCCAGCTAGACAGCTGCCACTGGAAGACTGCCCCAAGAAGATTTACTGACACCAGATCTATAATTTAACCACTAATGTTAAACAGAAATTCAGTTACATATGCTCAGGAAATTCAGCAGAGGAAAAAGCCAAGGTTATTTGTCAACACAAATAATGTTTTACAGTTGTCTGCCAAACAACCTGAAATACAACATCCAGCAAAACCACTGCATTAATACAAATTTTAACGCCATGGCAGAGCTCATTCTTATATTCACTAAGTCATGATGCACCCAAAATGTAAAAAGCACTAGCAATACTGAAAACATAGCTCACTATAACAGGAAGCTGAGGATGTATCAGGAAGGGGAAAATAGTTTCTAAAAAAGAAAAAAAAAAAACAACAACTTGCTGCTTCTCCAGATAAAACAGTTGTTTATACAGGAATAATGGACATTTATAGTCATTACATATAAGAGGGAATAATTCCTATTGGTGTGCTGTTTCCCACAGATATGACAACATGGATCCTTTAGATGACTTTTAAGAGAATAAACTGACATTTATAGATCTTTGCTAAACTCAAAACCAGTGCTGCTTAATGAGCCAACTATCCAAATACTGTAAAACTTCATAAATAATGAAGACAGGTTTATTAAGTTTTCAAAGCTATTTTCTCAGTCATAAATAATAATGCAAGAAATTAGTGGCTAATACTAATTTTCAACAGAGTAGTTTCCCATAAATTCACTGCTGTTACAACAGCTCATTAAAATTGTAAGACGATACAGCTGCTTAAGAGATTTTATAGCACAGACACACTTTTTAAAGTCTGTCTTTCCAACACTTACAAATCAGAAAATATAATCATTCTTTTGCTTGTACTTGGCAATGTACATCATCCTTTCATAAGAGAGCACTGAAGAAGAAGAAACAGTAATGAAAACTTTCTCTGTTTACCTATCCCTTCATTCTAGAGTTTTTTAACCCCTTAAGAGATTACAGAAACAACTGCAAAATAAAAACATTTTAAATGAATGGACCCTAATGCTCAAATTAAGGAAGGAACCAGTGTTCACCCTTGGTGCTTATAAAAATTGAGGTAAAACCTGCTGCGACAACACTGAGAACTACACAAGACAGTTGCAGGGAGGATGAGGAACAGAAAAGTGTGCTGGAAGTTTTCATGAAAATTAAGTGGAAAGATTACTTTTTCTTTTCTTTTTAATTACATCCCTCCTACACTCAAAACAATGGGCCAATAACTTAGGCCAACACTCCTCCCTGCCTTCTCCCACTACTGGACTGTTTCCCACAGAGATCACCACCTGCTAGACTTCAAATGGAGACCATCAAGAGGTGTACACATGTAAAATGAGCTCCCAGGTCCTGGAAGGGGTACTGGGGATTCCCAGAGGCCAAAAAGGCAAGAGAAATGTTGGCAGACTGCAGGAAGATGGCAAGATTTTAAGGAGCAAGCAGTAAATCACAGCACACCCTGCTAAGGCCTGGTCCAACATCTCATTCTCAGCTCAGACCAAGCACAGGCATTAATACCACAAACAAAAAGACACTGGCTGGAGGGTATTACAGAATTGAGAAGGCAAAACCAGATAAAGAAAGTGATGTCCTGACAGCTACAGTCTTATTAACATTTACTGAACACTGTGCTTTCTCAAAGCTCTGGACACCACAAGCTAGTGACACAGCTGACTCAGTATTCATGCAAATAGAGCATTTTCAGACTTGAGAATCACTGAGAAAACTTTGGAACTAACAAAATTAATATGAATGCTCTAAGTCAAATAATATAAAAAAAAACCCTCCACCGTATATTACTATTTTAAAAAAAATTTTCTCTTTTTAAGTTACTTATGATTTTAGGATTCATTATTTAGCATTTTATACACATGGCTGCTTGCTAAAGGTCTTATAAAACTGTTCTTTCAAATCATGATGAGGATTTTTTTTCTTAAATACATGGAGAAATTGATTTTTTAATATCATTTTTCCATCTAACTATGCAGTAGCTTTCTTTTCATTACTGGAACTTGTACACAATTCATCTTGTAGGATACTGAAAGTAACCACCTATTTCTACTGTAAAGTATGTGTTTCTTGTATATTTTAAATAAATTTTTTGCACCACCTCATTTGATTACATATTCTGTTGAAACCACAGATATACTTGCCCTCTTCAACAGCTGAATTTTTGTCTCTTAAAACTCTTTGGCAAAGTGATTTTAGAATATGAAGCTGTAAATTAAAATGCCTTTTTTTAACTTACTTACATAATTTCATATCACTGAAGTACTCTGGAACATGTCTGCATTACCTGAAGTCATGAGACATTCATTATCAGTCTCTTTAAAATCTGAAGGAAGTAGGCCCAAACCACAAACTACCATAGATTTGATTCTGACAGCTGAGAACAATTAATGAAATTCAATGTGAAGACATATTTAATTATATCACCTCTGTCTGGGTTGGTAACTGACATGTCTGAAGTTTCTACTAAATCTAGATGATCTACACACTTGAGGCAATATGAAATAACAAGGATAATTTTTACCACAGATTCTTGTCTTTTTAAAGAGACTTCCAAAACAAAAATCCCTCTTATCTCACTGTCTAATTGCTGCAGGTGAGACAGCACTTACATTACAGAAAAGATTATTTACAGGCATCAGGGTGAAGCAGACTAGTTCTCACTAATAAAGAAAAGAAGTTTCAAATTTACTAGTTTATTATTTTGAAAAGTCTGATATTATCTCTTGTCTACTCCTAGTCCCTCTATTCCACAGGAAAAAAAATAAAAGAGACAGAAGTTAAGGAAAAAATGGCTGTTGTTTGTATTCTGATTTATAAGACAAACATGCAGATTTTGAATTGAAAATGACCACTGGAGTACTAAAAACAACAAGCACATAAACCAGCATTTACTTTACTTCTTAGCTAATAGACCATGAACTCATACATTACAGAAAATACATATCAAGCAACATGTATTAATTATATCAGCTATTGATGCTTAATCACTTTGTTCATAGTCCACAAGACTATCACTGAGGGTGGTCTTAAACATATTTCTAAATGTAAAGTAAATTTAGATTTGAAAATATTTTTTAAGTCAGCATAAACTATAAAACATTATGTGGTGTCTTCAAGGGGAAAACCAAACAAAACCAAAAAAACAACTAAAAAATTTCCAAATAAACAAAAAACAAATTAACAAAAAAAAAAAAACCCCAAAACAAAACCACAACAAACAACAAAACCCACAAACAAACCTGCATTAGGAAACACAAATGAGCATGGCTCAGTGCTTGGAGAGTGATAACACATTGCTTATAAATACTTTTCAGGTCTGAACACAGAAATTTAATTCATGGTTGGAAAAGTGGTATTTTTTTTAATATATTTTTTACAACCCTGTTTCCATTTGAGAAGGGGAGACATGGAGGAAGACCTAGGGGAGTTGGATAAAGCAATACCTTTCAGTAGTTAGCAAAAGAAAATCTGTTCCATTTTGCCACTGCAGATCTCTACAGCAAATTAATCTACTGAAAGTACAACCCAAGAGATGTCTTTTGTTACTCTGTTTCAGACTCTTCTGACAATTCATTTTGACCCTGGTGGAACCTTGTTTATAAATCAGAAACCTGAGATTTGCAACTGTGTAACTTTTAAGGACATAAAAACCAATAAAATCAAAAACAAACAACAAAAAAGCACAAACAAACACCATTCACAGGATGTTCATATTCTGCTGTCACTGTTGAAAAGTTGTGTTTGACTATTGTAGCATATAACCTACAACCATCAAGAAAGCAAAGACATCTAATTTGTACATTTTTTCAAAGTTGCCTTCCTAGGTATTTATCAGAACTTGCATAATTACAATATAGGACCTTTGAAATCATCTCTTGTCTTTTCCTTTTTTTTTTAATTATGATTCCCTAATTTTCATTTTCTCACTTTCTGCCAACTCCAGATTGTTTTCTACTTACCCCTGTGCACTTTGATTTCTCCAATCTATAGCTGTGCCTTATATTATATTCTATCTGCATCTCCACATCAGGGAACATTTCAAGATGGTTTGTTTGTTTTGCAGGTTTTTAATCAGCTCAGAGTTAGCCATGCAGAACCAGTGCCTTCTAAATAATCAAACTCATCTTGAATATTCTTCTGAACAGTCCTTTGCAGTTGTATATGGGAAGAAAACAATCTGAAGGTGTAAGATGAAATTTGAATAACCCATACTTACTTAGAGAAGGTCCATGGAGAATTGCACAGTTGGGACAATGGTATAGATCAATGTCAACAGCATGGTGCTCCTCTACCCCAACGCAGCTGGAACAATATTTTTTACATGTTAATGAGAATGCACACAGGATTTACTTTTCAAGCTAAAAAATAATTAAATCTTGGGTTTTTATTAAAATGTGCTTACTCTACAAAATTATAATGAGATACCAGATTATCTCCACTGCTGGGCTGCCACATAAATTTTGAGTAACAATTTATCACTGAACACAGAATGCCATTTAAAAAAATCATAAACATGAAACAAAAATCAAATTCCTTTAGAAATGAGCAAATTCACAATATATACACCATTACCCCCAAAATCCTTGATCCTAATTACAGGAAACAGTTTTTACAAAATCATTCAAGCAATTTTCCACACAGAAGCTATGAGTTAAAAAAAAAAAAACCAAGAGCAACTGAGGTTTATGTGCTGTTAAATTATAGAAGATATAATGAATATTTTCCTTGTCTTTTTTTTCTTTCTGCAAAAATCAGGTAACTGACTCCTAGCTCCTAAGACAAATTAATGAAGAATACTTTCATGTTATTCTTGAAATCTTTACAATAGAACTGGATTCATAAACTACACAAGTGACCACATAAATAACTTAGAAGAACTGGTTTTGCTTTAAAATAGCAGCAAGTATTTTAAGGAGTGCTTGAGAGATGTAATGTTTTCTCGGTGCATATTTTTTTCCAGATAAAACAGTCAAAATGTGATTAAAAGCAAAATTTTTACAACAGTCATGACAAAGCATCTACTCTGCTGATACCTAAACAATACAATGTTAAAGTCAATTTAGTACATTTTGTTAGAAGCTGAAACACTAGAGGTTAATTGGAGAACATGTGCTTTTGCACAAAGTTCTTAAGGAAAAAAAACCAAAAAACAAGTAATCCCTGCTTGCTGGTCTGAATCCTGGCAGAGTTCTTCGTTCTGTGAAAAGTTCACTGACACTTACAAACTGCTGACTTTACAGTTAATACAGAAAAACAGTACAACTCTGAACATTTCCACCAAAATGAGGTATGTACACTCAATGCACTCTAGTAACACAAGAACTGGAACAGTGCCCCAGTCACGTAACCCATTCCATATCAACTGTAATGAGTGCTTATACACTGAAGCTTTGAAATGATCCAGCTACACAAAGTCTTTTCCTCAGCAGCCCTGTGCCAAAATGCTGACACGCTCCAGCAAGTGTCACTACATGCTGCCAAAACAATACAAGAAACAGTCTAGCACTGAAAGCACAATGAGCAAACCCAATCTGAAACTGAAGAGCATCTCCCATGTAACCATCAGTGGGAAGTGCATTCCGAGTTCCCCCTAAACATTCAGCTGGTTCCACTTCCCCATTCCCTACATACCACATGAAATCCAAAAATTATTTTGCTTTTTTTATATGCATACTATTTTAAAATCTAAATACAAAACTCAGCTGCCATAGTTCATCACAATTCTTGCAATATTTAGCATCTGCTATAAAGACCACAGCTACAAGAATCATTGTTACATGAAAATCCAGCTGACATATAAACAAAAAGGAAGGCAGAAGCAGTCTTTAAAAATGTATGTCCCATTTCCTTCTGCTTGTGTTCTCTCTCTTTTTATAGAATAGATGAATGACTCATAATCCTATGCATGATAAGAAAATTGTTTTAAAATGTACATTCTAAAAGCCCCAAATCAGAAGGCTGGTTTTATACATCTTTAGGAATCTCATTATTTTAGCTAAATTTCTAATTTTTGAACAGCTAAAGATATTTATGTTGAACTATATCTTGATCAAGTTTGCACTTCATTTATTCCCTTCCCTTTTTCTCAGTGTTTATCTGAGACATTCATCATCATTCCAATCAGATTATCTTGCTAACCACAAGAAATTTGCATAAAAATATAGCAAAAAATAGCTTTGACAACTATTTGTCCTATTCTGTTTCAGAATCTTAATTCTATTGTCTCTTATCAAATGTTACAGATAACAGAATTTCTACTTTATTTTCAGGCTTAGTACTAACGATTAACTCCATAACCTTTCATGAAGGCACATGGGATTTTGTGTACAGAGACTGGAATGGTATTATAATGTCTGGAATAGCCATTCAATAAGGGAAGCAAACATTTTCAGTCTATTTATCTTGTAAACTCAGCACTGGAAACACAAAACACTAAGTGGAGACCATGGAAGCGAATCCAGCCGCAGATGCCTGACTGGAGCAAAGGGCAAGCGAGGTGCCAGCACCTGCAGGAACAAGCACTGCCAGGGATGCCACAGAGCACATCAATCACACACAGCACCATTACAAGTCACTTCCCCGTGTCCCTTTCTCCAACACACACAGATGAATCTGACATTAATCACTCTGGCTACTAGCAAGCAATCAATTACTGTGGCAAATGCAACTTCAGACCTCAAGCATCAAAACAAGGTCACCAAGAGGTAGCAGAGAGCCTGGAAAACATTAACATACTCAAACACTGCAACTCCCAATCTACTGATGTTCTCCTGTATGAAATATTATTACCCTTCACCTTGCAATCAACCCAATCCATTTGGGTTGAAATGTCTTGAGCATATATATTACCTAGCTTCTGAATTGCTCATCTCCTACAGGGAGGTCACAGACTAATCCTCAGGAACACTGGAAAGCTTACAGTGTTAAACAATAAAATACAATAATACTAATTAAAAAGAAAAAACAAAACAGCCATACAAGACTGTTCAAAAATACACCTATTATTCTGTTCATGAAGGTGAAAAGGTTAACCAGGCCCAATTTCACTTGCAATGCTCTAGAAGGAATAGCAAGGTAGAAAAAAGTTAGTTAAAAATACATTCCATTACATCAGCCTCCGACTGGTCAGACATTCCATACCTCCCATGGTATCTAGCATCAAGGGAAGGTCAACAAGAGGTAGCAGAAGATCTGGAAAGTGGAAAGTTTTTTCACACACAAGAACATGCCCATCCCTGGCATCTGAAGAAATCCCCTGCTACTGTAAGTCTGAGGAACCCATTCTCCCAACTTAAGTCTCTCTAGAAGGTGCACATGCATGCTTTTGACTTAGTCTCAGCTTTCCATTTGATCATTACATTTGTAGCTATGTAAAAGCAGCAAGGGTAAATCAAAAACAATCAGAAGATGACTCCAATATCTGACAAGTACCAGTAGACCCCTGCTTTTCAATAAAGGGTATATAAGGCTTCTTCCACAGTTCAGGGGGAAGTCCAGCAGAGGCTGTTCACTTCTTCAGTATTGTTATTAATTTAGACTTTAAGAGATGGGTACTGATAATTCAGAATATTAAAAAAACCATTTCACAATCATGCTGGAATATCTTGTACAAGGAGTTTGCACAAGTCCAGGACAGTTACAGGAAGTTTCATCCCTGGAGACTGCATGGCTGTACATCGTGAGACACCCAAGGCACCTGGCACATCTCCCCTACAGCAGCACAGTGTGAATAAATATTGGATCTGTGTCAGTCACCACACAGGCTGCTGCACCTTCTACATCTAATACCTACTTGCTCTCAAGCCACCCTGGCTTTTCACTTCCCTACTTCTGATATTATCAAGCACAACCAAGTGATTTTTAGAAATTGCTTAACTACCTTCACTTGTATGACTGAAAGAATCCTGATTTAAGAAAAAATCCAGAACACTCTTGATCAAAAGCCTTATTTTCAGTGTTCTTAAGGGTACATGACTACTTAAAAAACTAATTTATTAAAACAAATAGTGTACGTACCCTATCATTATACAAAATTCTCAGCGTAAAAGGGAATGCTTACATAAGAACACATTCAATTACTCAAGTCATTTCTTGACTTGACAAAAGTCAAGAAATGAGCCAAGTGTTGATGCCCATTTTCCTAGTTTAATTCCTAGATTAAACCAGGAAGATATTTCTACTAGGAATATTCCAAGACTTCTGTATATGAGGCACACTGAGAATAAAATCTTGAAAATTGAGAGATGCAAGCAATTCTCAATGATCTAATAAAAAGACAGCAGAAAACAGATGAATCACCTTCAACAGAAAAACAGCTAATTTGCCAAGAAGCTGGGTTGTACATGGGACATCATCCTCTTGGATACCCCTCTTGTGTTCCCTCCCCCTACTGATTCAATTCCATAGGGTCCTTTTCCACCTTCCATGTGCAAAACAATTGAACAGGCTCATCGTTCTAGATGCACTTGGACTTTTTAGGAAGTCTCCCACAACAGCTTCCACTCCTCTCCACACCAGCACCATATTTTGCACCTACTAAGCTTCACCTAGCAGATGAGGAAACAGGGCAGGCCATCACAGCATGTCCAATATTACCTCAATGGATATTGTTGGATAGATATTATTTTACAATTAGATGTTGATTTACAGCTGAAAACTAGCAATTTTTTTATTGGGACACATGAAGTTCAGGCCCCAAGATCTCTTGGTTTTCCAGTGTCTAACCTGAACAATCTGACTTTTTTGTGGTCACTGTGCAGCAAAAATGCAGGTTAGAGCTCTTGCCAGTATGTTTAGTCAAGCACAAACCCTTGCATCTTCTCCAAGCTAAAAAATTACTAAAAATTACATTTTGCAAAATCGCCTTATATCCTCCATGAATAAACACTGAGGACAACCTTCTCCTTTCTGAACCGTCCTTTCTCATTCTGAGCAAGAACTCAGCACATCCTTGTCCACCCTTGCATCAGCACCCACAACCTTTCCCTGATGTGCCTCAGTGAGCACTCCAGGCTTTATCTATAAAAGGAAGGAAAAAGCACAGGTCTTGACATCCAGTAGGAAAAAAAAAAAAGAAAAGAACAAAAAAGAAGAGTGGAAAAATACTAGGGGTATTAAAGCATGTTCCTGTTACCAAGAACACAGGGCTATAGACAATTACTAGAGGTATAGGGATGTTTCCTATTATCTGCCAGAGCAGATGGCCAAAATCCTTTTTCAATTTCCAGTCATCCACAGAGCAGCCAAGATACAGATACAGAGTCTGTGCTGGGTCTTAACAGTGCTGAGGACAGGACCAAGGC